GGAAAGCTTCCTGTGCTTGGCCTCTGGCTTCAAGGCTTTTTCTTCCAGTTCCAGGGAGAGAGGGGAGTACTGTGTAGATCTGAGAGGGAACCAACCGTCCCTGCTTCTCCCCTCCTGTCCTTCATAGACCTGCCTGTCCTGCGGCTCCAGTGAAGTGATTCTGCCTGTCTTTGCCCGTCCCCTTCTCCCTGCCCCGCCCTGTCCTGCTGTGCACCTGCCTTCCCCACCCCCTCAGGTCCCCAGTGCAGACAGCGCTTGCGCTCCATTCACCCCCTGCGCCCTCAGCAGCTGGTTCTGAGCACAGAGAAGCCAAGACCCCAGGATCCGGACGTGTGTGCACCCAGGCTTGCAAAACCATCCAAGTGGCTGAGAACAGCGGAGGGGCTGCTGGTGGTGTGTCTGTGATGTTGGGCACGTGTGGGAGCAATCTAGGGTGGGTGTGGAAGTCTGGAAGGCGGGGCACAGGGCTGGGTGAGGGCATGGCATGGCTGTGACCACGTGTGGGACACGGGGGCTGTCGCCTTTTACTCCGCCCAGAGCCTGGGGCCTTAGCCTCCTAGTGAGGCCTGGGAGTGGGGCCTGGGAGTGGGGCCAGGCTGGAGAGACCCATATCTGGCAAAGGATCAGCTTCAGCCGTGCTGGGTGGGAGCCCAATCCTCCTGCCAGGCTGGCAAAATGCTCCTCCAAGCCATTCTCCTTCCCCTGCCATGACCACGCTGCTGGGCAGGGGCAGAGGGCTGGGGTGGGGTCGTGGGCCCCGGCACAGGAGGTGCAGAGGGTGTGGGTGAGAATCCCATCCCGTCACACCAGCCCCGGTGCAGAGGGAGCCTTTCTGGGGGCCCAGGAACCACGAGGAAGGCCAGGCCTGGGCCTTCTTCCTGCCCCGCCCGGGCCTGCTGTGCCCCCTCCCATTCGATGCCGATGGCCCCTCCTGGGCTGCTAGGCAGAGGGCACCCTCAGCACATTAGCTTTGGCGGTGATTGCCACCTTCTCCTCTCTGCTCCCCCCCATCTTCCCCTCCAGGTTTGGTTTCCATAACAACCCCAGAAGGTGGGAGGCTGTGCTAACTGGCAGGTAATGCCCAGCTGGGAGGGGGCCACAGGAAGAGCTCTGGCTGGCGGGCTGCAGGCTGAGTCTGGCGGGCTTCCTGGCAGCCCCTCCAACCCTCCCACCACCTTGAAATCAGGTGGAGGTGGCGGCGGGGGGTCAGGTCGAAGCCTGGCCAGGAACACCAGACTTGGGGTGCCCCCCATGGTTATGAGCTAGGAGACGTTGCTGCCGACTCATTCCACCGTTTTGGGCAAGTGCAGGCTCTCTGAGCCTCGGTTTCCCCATCTCCATAAGACAGAGATGGGATGGGGAGTTTCATCAAATACAACTTTGCTGCCACGTAAGGCTCCTTTGATTATCCTAAGAGCCCGCGTTACTGAATCAGTTGGCTAGAGCAAAATGCATTTCACTGCATTCCCACGGCAGCAATTAATCGTTTTCATAAGACAGAACCAGTGTCAGTCAAAGCTGCCAGGCCAACCCAGCCCAGAGCACTGAGCTGACGTCCAGTGGGTCCATGCGGTCCTAGGGGAAGCGAGCCTGCTGCTTCTGTGGGACGACGGTGGCCTCTGAGGCCTTGTTCTGCTCTGTCTCCCCGGCTCTGGCACAGGGTGAAGGCAGGCCGGGCACCTGCTCTGTGATTCTGAGTGGAAGGAGCGGTTCCCCGTGGGGTCCTGTGGGGGATGGAGGCCGGGATTCTCTCCTGAGACGGGATAGGAGGACTGGCTAAGGGCCTGAGGTCAGGCAGAGCATTTCCCAGAGTCATGGGCTGAAGACAGGCCAGAGCCTGGTGCCCATCAGACAAGGGCCCTGGGCACGGTGTCTTTCCCAGGCTCAGGGGCATCGTCCTCATGAAACTGTGCTGCTCAGGCTCCGGGGTGGGAAGGCAGCCGCTGTGTCCTTCCTGCCGAGCCCCCTTCCTGGGACACTGGGGCCTCAGGGGCCCATGGATCACTGCCCCTCTCCCATGGGGCACAGCGGCCATACCACCCCTTCCCAAGTCAGTGCAAACTCCCGCTCCCACTCTCTTCAGACCCCATGTTCTCAGCTGACCATCCTGCTTGTTATCACTGAGCAAAACAGCAGCACTCAGAACAGACATTTCTTCTTCTCTCGTCATGGGCTCTCTGAGTTCACCTCCCTCTCACCTGAAATTCTCTCTTCCCCACTCAACGCCAACGCTCCGCCTGGCCCTGGATCCCCCCGCCTCGGCCTGCTCAAGCTTCCATCCTGCAATCCCCCCCTTCACCCCAAACTTCCCTTCTCTCCCGAATGCTGCCCATCCGCCTGCCAAGACACCTCCCTCTTTAAACATCCTCCCTGCCCCCACCTTCCCCTCTGGCCACCACCCTGCTTTTGATCCTGTTTACAGCAAATCCCACAACGTGGATGTCTCCACTTATTCCGCCTCCCCTCCTCCCGCTCTCTATAATCAGGCGTAAGTCCTCCACTCATTGACCTGTCTTGTCAAGGTCATTAGCAATATTGACGCTGATGGTCCAGTCTCAGTTCTTGCCTTCCTCACACTGCCTTGTGATATCTTTCAAATTGAGTCCCAGCCCTCAGCTGGCTTTTGGGACACTGCTCTCCCCTGATTTCCCTCCACCCTCCCTGGCAGTGCCCTCCTGCTTTCCCTGCGCCGCCCCTTCTCGATCTTGACCCCGAGATGTGGAACGTCCCTCGGTCCAGCCCCCAGGGTGGGGAATCCCCATCTAGCCCACCTCTCTGGCTGGTGGGAGGACCCAGTGGGCCATGTCAGGGACCAGGTGCCTTAAGATGAGCCGGATGTGGAGTCTACGACTGGGCAGAGCAGACATGCTGGTAGGCGTGGCCTGAGTTTCTGGGGATGCCCTGCCACTTCCCCAGGTTCCTTCTCTCTCTTTACTGTGGTTTCATTCACAGTCACTGTTCACCATGGTTGGAGCATTTCAGGCTGTAACACTGGGTTCCCTTGGTGGATAGGGCAGAGGGTGCTCGACCAGAATGTTAACGGTGTCCCTTGAGCACAGGGCTGCCATGAGGCTCCAGACGGGCAGTGGACTTGACCACCGTGGCCTGAGCTACTCTGGGCCCGGCTATCCCACCAGGATGAGCTGAGGGCTCCATCCTGACTTCCCCCTGCCAGGGCAGGAAGGTGGGGTGTTAGATGGCCCCATGCAGAGCCACAATGTGGACGGCAGTAGGGAGGCTGGGAGGGCGGGGCGCAGCGAGATGCACTTGCCCCTCAGGGTGGCCTGGCGCGGCACCGCACAACGCAGAGGGGGAGCGAGGTACTCACGCCATGATAATCACGCTGAAGTCCAGCCAGTTCCACGGGTCCCGAAGGAAGGTGAACGCATGCAGGCAGAAGCCCCGGGCCAGTATCTTGACCAGGGACTCAAAGGTGTAAATGGCAGTGAAGGTGTACCTGGGAGGAGAGACGGGTCTCTCAGGGAGGCGAAGCCTGAGGCCAGGCTCCCCGGCTCCCCAGGAGGCATGAGTCCTGGGCAGCCCCCTCTCAGGGCCCCCAGGCTGGGCTGGCGTTCTGGGCCGAGCTTTGTCTCCAACCTCCAGCTAACAATCCATCTTCCCCTGTGGTTACTCACACAGGGTGCCTGCCACGTGCCCCCTGTGCCTCCATCTCCTCTTGGTTGTCTTGATGTCAGTGGACCCTCCACCGACCTCCTTACCCCAGCCCTGGGAGTCCATGGGCACAGGCCTATGGTGGCCACTGGGTCTGCCCCGTGGGATAGTAAGGACACCCAAGTCACAGCCCCTCACCTTATTTGTGGGTCCTCAGCAGCTAGTGAGGAGAGAGCATGGTCCGTGCTCAACCGCCTACAGGGCAGGTGGCTACAGATGTCTATCGTGACCTTGGAAAGGGGGTTCATATTCTAACACCTGAGAACGGGTAGGGACTGTTCTCTCTGCCTGGGTGGGCTGAAGGCTCCTGAATGCCTGGATGCGGGGGCTGTGGCCCCGAGGAATGTGAGAGGGCCACACCCTGTGCCTCCCAGGTCCCAGCAGCTGGATGCAGGCCCCGGGGAGGGGGCAGCACTGAGGGGTCCTGTGTGAACAGGGACCGCCACCCGCAAGCTGCTTCCATCTCCTGAAAACAGGAGCCAGATGCACCAAGGGCCTCTGAGGTCTGCGCAGCACCGCAGTAAGGCTGTCATGGGAAGAATGGAGCAGAAGCAGTTTTCTAAATGGTGCACATGGTGACAGAGGCAGGACTCGGAGGGAAAAGGTGGCAGAGTGTGGTGTTGAAGTGGGGAGAGCCCTGCGCCTCTTCCGGGCAGCCACACCTCCTAGCGGCACGGTATCGGGCAAGGCACTACTCTCCTTCGTCTCCTCATCTGTCAAATAGGATGTGCCTGCACCTACCCTCCTGGGTCGTCGTGAGGGTTAAAGGAGATGATGATGTTTACTGTTCGATGGCAGCGTCTGCCATGCGCTAAGCGCTCCATCAGTTATTATTATTGTTGTTGTTGTTGTTGTTTGAGGGCCTTCTCCCATGTCCTCAGGCCTCGTTGGGAGGAACCCCTACTTTGCCCTGGAAAGCTTCCTCCCCTGAGGGCACAACTCAGAGCCGGAAGCTGGCAGGAGGGGAAGCAGCAAAAGAGGGTGGGGGCTGGGCCAAGAACCCCCCAGGTGGGTGCGTCCCTGAGCCTGGGCCCAGCCCTGGGGTGACTGGCGGGGCCGCAGGATAGAAGGGGAAGGACGGGAGGGAGGGGCCAGCCAGAGAGGCCCTGAAGATACTCACTCGACATACTTGGTCCAGGGCGGAGGGTCGTGCTGGGCCATGAACACGCAGTTGGTCAGGATGGTGCACATGATGAGCATGCTGAAGAGCGTGGGCCAGGGGTCAAGGAAAACCACGCCAGGGGGTGGGGGGTGGTGTCAGCCAGGCCACCAGGGCCAGAGGGGCCTGGCATGGGGGTCGTCACTCCCAGGTCAGAGCTGCCACATCCATGAGACAGAGGCTCCAAGAAGACACATTGGAGCTGTGCCTAGTCCTTACCAACCTCCCCACCCAAGCTGGCCTCTGTCCTCTCCCTGGCACTGCAGCCCCTGAGAGGGACCAGACACACGAACCTGCACCTCTAGCAGGTCCCCTGAAGGGCCCATCTGGAGGCAAGGGGGGGAAAGGCACGCCCAGACCACAGCCTCTTTGGAGGGAGGTGGCATTTGTAAACCCCCTCAGGGGCCACTGTCGGAGAGGAAGGCATGGTGCAGGGTCCGAGTCCTCCCCCCGCCCCGCCCCCCACTTCTGTAGGAGCAGCCCAGGCTGACCTGTGGCCTAGGACCTCTCCGTGGAAGTGTCCTGCTGACACAGCTTCTGTGCCTTGTTGGGACACACTGGCCCCGGGAGGCAGGGGGCTGCTTCCCAGCTGCTTCCTGCCTGCGCACATCTCTTCACTCTTGTCCCCTCTCCCACCTCATACACACCTTCTCCTCCTCTAGGACGCGCCCCGACCCCCTCTGAGCAGGAGTACCCCCCGCTGGAGCACCCCCAAAGAGCACTCCCCAGCAGGAGCACCTTAGCATGTGGTTGTTCTCCGACTGTCAATGTCCCCAGCCAGAGGGGAGCTCTTCAAATGCTCGGACTGTCCTGGGCATCCTTCCGGGCCCTTGGCCTTGAACTGAACTGCCTCCGGCCTGGTCTGGCCCTGACTCTTTGGCTGTTAAGTCCCAGCTGCTGCTTCAGGCTGGACTGATCTCCACGGCCTCCCTCACCCCTGCAAGACCTACAGAGAAGCAAGGGGCAGACCCTGGGCCCCCCGTGGGCTGGGGCACCCCCAAGAGGCCTGGCCTGGACCAGGAATACTCTGCTGCCCTCACAAATCCCCTCCCCAGCCAGAGAGGAGAGGCTGGGCCTCCTACTCCCTGCGGCTGCCCCAGGCTCCCCACGCTGCCCCAGCCTCGCCCCTCACTCCCACGGGCTGCCAGAGCTGTGGTAATTGAGCTCCAGGGGCCTGCCTCCTTCCTCCTACCACAGCTCCACCTCTTCCACGGCCCGACCCAGCCCCGGCAGATGGGGGGACCAATGTAGTCAGACTGGAGATCGGGCGAGCTGGGAGCTGACTTGTGAGTGGAGGGGCTGCCCTGGCTGGAGGCAGAAGTGAGGCCTCTCAAGTAATCCAGGTGGGAGCTTTCCATACCCCCAGTCCTCCTAGAGCAGCGGTTCTCAACCTGTGGGTCGCGACCCCTTTCGGGGTTGAACGATCCTTTCACAGGGGACGCCTAAGACCATCAGAAAACACATATAATTACATATTGTTTTTGTGATGAATCACTATGCTTTAATTATGTTCAATTTGTAACCATGAACATACATCCTGCCTATCAGATATTTACATTATGATTCATAACAGTAGCAACATTACAGTGATGAAGTAGCAACGAAAATAATTTGATGGCTGGGGGTCACCACAACATGAGGAACTGCGTTAAAGGGCCGCGGCATTAGAAGGTTGAGAACCACTGTCCTTGAGAGACTAGGGAACTGGGCAATAGCATGCTGAACCCGGCCCCCAGTTACAATAAACTCTCCAGGTTCTTATCTGGGATGAGAGGGGTCAGGCTTTGGAGCCCCCTTAATCAAACCACAGCTGCTCAGGTCCAAAGCCACAGCCCCCAGGGAGCCTGCATTC